CCTAGGTCCAAAATTCCACAGGTGGCAGTGATAAATATGGCTGTGGCTTGGGAATAACCAGGACTCCATCGGGAGTAGATCTTTGCTTTCTTAGCTGGTTTGATTGATCTTGCTGAATTCTTTTCTTTGTTTTCCTACATGTGTTGCACTTATTACATCATGTTTTGTTATTTCATATTGTGTGGGTAGTATTCATTATTCACAGTTAAAAAGTGTATTTTGTTATATTGTTGTAATTCATGTTATACTGTGTTAATTTGACTAGCATATAATTACTGTCTGGAAGCTTTAAAAGTAGTGAGGAAGTCAGGCCAAGTTGCGCCTTGGAATGTTTATTTGAGTCGCCTCACCCCTGGATGTAGGTTCGATGTTTATTGGAGCTGTGGGATTCCGTCTAGACCATTGAGAGCCAACATCTCAACACTAAAACTACTTCAGAGTGCCTTTTGGTTCATTAGGGAAAACTCTAACAAAGGTACGTGACAACAGCAATAGGTGACCGATGATGATGATGATCTGCTATCAAAACCCAACCATCAGCAAAGAGTAATTAGTTGATTTACTAATATTTATGTTTCTGGACTTGGGGTCTTTGCATATCCTGTCGATGTAGGAGTTAACCAACTCGGAGATGAATGTAGTACATAAAAGGCAGTCTGGCATGCTAGGGCTACAGGCAGCCAAGCCAGGGCTACAGGCAGACAAGCCAGTGCTACAGGCAGACAAGCCAGTGCTACAGGCAGACAAGCCAGTGCCACAGGCAGACAAGCCAGTGCTACAGGCAGACAAGCCAGTGCTACAGGCAGACAAGCCAGTGCTACAGGCAGACAAGCCAGTGCTAAGGGCAGACAAGCCAGTGCTACAGGCAGACAAGCTAGTGCTACAGGCAGACAAGCCAGTGCTACAGGCAGACAAGCCAGTGCTACAGGCAGACAAGCCAGTGTTACAGGCAGACAATCCAGTGCTACAGGCAGATAAGCCAGTGCTACAGGCAGACATGCCAGTGTTACAGGCAGACAGTCCAGTGCTACAGGCAGACATGCCAGTGCTACAGGCAGACAAACTGGCAGCAGGTCTCTTTAGGATGGCCGCGCCGGCTGTAGACGCTTACCTGCCACACGAAGGTCCTATGTTCGAATCAGTATCGTGGCATGTTTCTAAAAACAGCGGCTCTAAGGTTGACCTAGCCTAAAATGGATATCAGCAGTACGCAGTACTGGCACTTCCTTAGGGCATCGTTTCTTCCTTCCTTTCCTTTGTGTGTGCGTGTGTGTGTCTGTGTGTGTCAGAGAGGGAGAGTTTGCTTTTTTTTAGACATTTCGGTGCGAGTACCAGCACCTCTATTGTAAGGAGAAAAAACGCTGGGTACCAGAAAACGTCATGGGAGGTAAAGGCGATCGGAATGATTTTAATCACATCAAAATGTGAGTTTCTTTAGGTCTATGTCCGACGCACCCCTGACCTGAACAGTCATTGTACTGACTGACTGACTGACTGACTGACTGACTGACTGACTGACTGACTGACTGACTGGCTGACTGACTGACTGACTGGCTGGCTGGCTAGCTGACTGACTAACTGACTGACTGACTGACTGGCTGACTGACTGACTGACTGACTGACTGACTGGCTGACTGACTGACTGACTGACTGACTGACTGACTGACTGACTGACTGGCTGACTGACTGACTGACTGGCTGACTGACTGACTGACTACTGGTGACTGACTGACTAAGGTGACTGATAAGGTGACTGACTGATAAGGTGACTGACTGATAAGGTGACTGACTGATGGCTGACTGACTGACTGGCTGACTGACTGACTGACTGGCTGACTGACTGACTGACTGACTGACTGGCTGACTGACTGGCTGACTGACTGACTGACTGACTGACTGACTGGCTGGCTGACTGACTGGCTGGCTGACTGATAAGGTGACTGACTGATAAGGTGACTGACTGATAAGGTGACTGACTGATAAGGTGACTGACTGACTGGCTGACTGACTGACTGGCTGACTGACTGACTGGCTGACTGGCTGATAAGGTGACTGACTGACTGGCTGACTGGCTGATAAGGTGACTGACTGACTGGCTGACTGGCTGATAAGGTGACTGACTGGATGACTGACTGACTGGCTGGCTGACTGACTGACAGACTGACTTACTGACTGACAGACTGACTTACTGACTGACTGACAGACTGACTTACTGACTGACTGGCTATCTGACTGAATGACTGACTGACTGGCCGGCAGACTGACTGACTGACTTGATGACAACGTCGCTCAGTAAAAGATGTGCTTCATGTAGATGTCACATTCCAAATATCTCATATAAGACTTCCAACCCCCAGAAACACGAACATACCCCAAGTAACACAAACATATCCCCAGAAACACGAACATACCCCCAGTAACACAAACATATCAAACAAAATAATGAAGTTACAATAACAGCTGGGTTATCTCATGGGTCTCCTCAAGGGCCCAGTAAATTATTTTGTCTGTTACAAACAACCAGTTGACCAAGTCTGGTCCAGTTCCACTGCGCGTGCTATGCCTATGACGTCACATCCGTTAAGTCGCATCTTGACGTCACAATGCCATGACAGACGCAGCAGGATCTGATTCTATCTGCAGGCCACCTGTTGGTCAAGATCTGATTCTATCTGCTGGCCACCCGTTGGTCAAGATCTGATTCTATCTGCTGGCCACCTGTTGGTCAAGATCTGATTCTATCTGCTGGCCACCTGTTGGTCAAGATCTGATTCTATCTGCTAGCCACCTGTTGGTCAAGATCTGATTCTATCTGCTGGCCACCTGTTGGTCAAGATCTGATTCTACCTGCTGGCCACCTGTTGGTCAAGATCTGATTCTATCTGCTGGCCACCTGTTGGTCAAGATCTGATTCTATCTGCTAGCCACCTGTTGGTCAGGATCTAATACTATCAAACTCCTGGTCCTATATGGCGAATAGGCAGCCTAAACGTCTTCGTCTTGGCGAGATATTTGCTGTTGACTGTAGTTAACTTTTTACTTTTTATGTGGACTAGAAACATACAATGTCTAGCTAATGAGTGGAGTGCATGGCGCGACAGTTGAGCTTTGGATTTCATTTGGAATACTTTTCGACTGTGCCAGAAGTGATCTGTGTTGTCAATTGTAAATTTAGACAATGGCTGGTGCCACAGAACTGTTGGTGCCTTATGAAGTTCAGCATGTGCAACTGCTGATTTGTTGTAACTACTGCTTCAATTGACGATTAACTACAGTTGTAGTATCGGACTGTCTGCACCGGCCTTCTGATGGTTACCTTATGTATTGTTATGTTTATGTATGCTTTGCCGAGACTGCAGTCTGTTTCAGGTGTTTGTCCTGCAAGAGATAGAGATGGACGCTCTCTGTGTGGCTGTCGTTGACACAGAATGGAACAACTAGGGAGTGACCCGTTTGTCGTGAAGTTGGAACTGTGAACTGACCTCTGTCTGATCCTACCGTTCTCTGTTAGAGTTAGGTTGCCATGAAACCCGAAGCTTGCTGTTATGTTTGGCTGTACTCTGTTGACGTTAGGTTGCCATGAAACCTGAAGCTTGCTGTTATGTTTGGCTGTACTCTGTTGACGTTAGGTTGCCATGAAACCTGAAGCTTGCTGTTATGTTTGGCTGTACTCTGTTGACGTTAGGTTGCCATGAAACCTGAAGCTTGCTGTTATGTTTGGCTGTACTCTGTTGACGTTAGGTTGCCATGAAACCTGAAGCTTGCTGTTATGTCTGGCTGTACTCTGTTAGCGTTAGGTTGCCATGAAACCGGAAGCTTGCTGTTATGTTTGGCTGTACTCTGTTGGCGTCAGGTTGCCATGAAACCTGAAGCTTGCTGTTATGTTTGGCTGTACTCTGTTGGCGTCAGGTTGCCATGAAACCTGAAGCTTGCTGTTATGTTTGGCTGTACTCTGTTGGCGTCAGGTTGCCATGAAACCTGAAGCTTGCTGTTGTATGTTTGGAAGCTTGCTGTTACTCTGTTAGGTTGCCATGAAACCGGAAGTGCTGTTATGTTTGGCTGTACTCTGTTGGCGTCAGGTTGCCATGAAACCTGAAGCTTGCTGTTATGCTGGCTGTATGTTTGTTGCTGTGAACTTCTGTTGTTTGGCTGTACTCTGTTGGCGTCAGGTTGCCATGAAACCTGAAGCTTGCTGTTATGTTTGGCTGTACTCTGTTGATGTCAGGTTTCCATGAAACCTGAAGCTTGCTGTTATGTTTGGCTGTACTCTGTTGGCGTCAGGTTGCTATGAAACCTGAAGCTTGCTGTTATGTTTGGCTGTACTCTGTTGGCATTAGGTTGCCACGAAACCCGAAGCTTGCTGTTATGTTTGGCTGTACTCTGTTGACGTCAGGTTGCCATGAAACCTGAAGCTTGCTGTTATGTTCGTCTGTACTAACTTTCGGCAGTTGAATAAATGCCAGGTATAAATATTATTATTCATTCTTTTGTGGGTATGGGAGTCTGACAATGTGGACAGCAGCCTCCTGGACAACAAGTCAACATTGAGCCTAGTGCGTCTTTGGTTGGACAAGATGAGACATCTCCTGCTCGTGTACACTACAGAACATTCACATGATTTGCTTGCTTGGCGGAAAAATCCTACAGTTATTGCTATTTTCATTGTTGCATTCAGAGTTACATTTATACAAAGACTCCATGATAAACCCGACAGATAAAGAGGAACATTCACCGAAACGTCGGCCTGAACTTGGTTGCAGTCGTGTTGCATAGAGCTGATAACTAGTTGCCAAGATGACTGATAATGTGGATATGCTAATTTGATTCTTACCTCCAACTTGCCAAACAGTGGGGTGTGGGGGTGGGGCGGGCAAGGGGATGGGGTGGGGAACGATAAATTAAGCTGCACATGTATCTCAGTTGTGTATCTGCGCTGAACTTCTAAATAGAAATACAAAGTGGCTGCAAATGCCGCCAGTGTCTTGTTTGATGTGTCATTTCTACGTTGGTCTTCTGCTGGAACTCGCACTGGAACTTCTGTGACGTAACTGCAGCGGCCGGCTTTTCCTTCCCGCAAACACCGGGATATTATCCCCTAAGACATACCGGCCATAGACGCCCGCTTTACAGGCCCACTCGGGCCGGGCTAGCCTCCCGGACTTCAGACCTGACACCATTGCCCGGCGCAGGCACGTGGACTCACTGATAAGTCCGGCAGTCCATAAAAACTTTCGGATATCCTTGAGGGTGGAGCCGCTCTCGTCATCCAGCTCGGAAATAGCGATGATGATCAACTGAACTAGCAGATTTTGTGGGATCTCGCCATTATGCTCGTCGCTGGAGGAGCCCTGTGCTTCCGGGTTATTGACATTTTGATCTACGAGTTTCTGACCTATAGATTTCTGGCCCAGAGCTTTCTCAGCTAAGGGGTTTTCATCTAGGGATCTATGATCCACAGATTTCTTCGTCGACATCGTCTCAAGTAGTTGGGCAATGACCTACACAGACTAATGAAACTGATGCTGTGCCATGGATTTTTATCAAAGGGTAGTGGATAAGTGGATGTGGATTGGAAATGGCGGCGTTAGAACGGTTACCTGTGCTTAGACGGGCAAAACTAGCTGGTATCGGACATGACTGACAGTGCAGTGTTAACGGGCCTTGCAGAAATAGATGCATCACAGGAAGCGATCAAAACCGTGGTAACTGAGCTGACGTCACTGTTGGCCGGCGCTGCATTAGGTTGTACAGCCGCGAATATTTACAGCACTAAGTTGTGACAATGTTACCCCATGGATGTAGGAATATAACAGAAACTTGAACGCAAACAGAATAAAGCCATGCTGGTAATTCTTTAGTATACAAGAGAAACCCGGTAGTATGTATGCCATACATACGTGGTAAGCACAATCAAAGATTGTCTCAAAGTTCTGCAAGCAAAGTCATAGCTCAGAGTAGCTGCAGACAAGAAACACCTCCTGCATGAAGCTCTGGGCAGAGCTAAGGATCACTGACTGAAAAGAGGAAGGTCTTGGATGGCGCAAGTTGAAGACACAATTAGACATGTGTGCAGGTTTGGTACATTTTTGCCAGGTGAGGAGTGGGTCAAAGTGTTAGATCATGTTTCAGACTTGTGTAGTGTTCTAATCAGTTTAGGTCGTGAGTACAGGGACTGGCCAGCTGGTGCTGCGGAATCAGAAGTTCAACACATGATTCATGACGATACCCGCCCAGGTGATATGATTGTCTGTACAAATGGCTCTGTGTTGAGGGGCAGACGAAGTGCGTGAGGGTTCACAGCGAATGGACGTCACTTAATGAAACAATGTCTGGCATATATCAGAACGTCTAGTTTGAGAATGGAGGTGGAGGCAGTCTCTGCTGTCTTGCGCTGGCTTGGGAATCAGCTGTAAACACAGGCCGCGACTGTAACTGACTCATTGAGCATGTTGAGAAAGTTGGACAGGCACGCTCACTGTAGAGGTCCTGAGTAGTTAGCAGTCCTTTGGATGTTCTCTCCAGGTGATGCTGGTGTGTTGGAAAATAAGCAGGCAGACAGAATGGCTGGTTGTGCACCACTTGGTGGTGAACTGATGTTAGACAAGCTAGATAATGTGAGGGCCTTTTGGGAGCGACTGAACAGTTCGAAGAGACAAGTAGATCTTTACAGTCTAAGGAGATGGTGCTGCTGGGAGTTATCAGGGGATCTGGCCGACGCTCAACACTCAAGGGAAAGGTGAGACGGATGTTCAGTCAGACAGTTACTGGTACCATCGGAACTAACTCTTCGCTTATAGGAGTGCCGCGAGTGCTGTGATGTTGATTCATAATTCAATATTTAACATATTTATGCCAGGGCTGGCAGGTGTGCAAGGAAATGAGCACGCTGATAGACTTGCAGGTAGAGCTACTCTTGACGGCTAACAAGCCATGGACCATGCTGATGTTGACGGCTAACAAGCCATGGACCATGCTGATGTTGACGGCTAACAAGCCATGGACCATGCTGCTGTTGGGGACCAACAAGCCATGGACCATGCTGATGTTGACGGCTAACAAGCCATGGACCATGCTGCTGTTCTAAATGCTCTTTGAGAAGTAACATTTTGTGCGAGAACCAAGTGATGACTGTGAATTTGCCAACATGACCAAAAACAACGTTTGAAGTGTGGCTAGATGAGAGAACTCTGCGGAAAGCAAAATAAAAATAAGAAAACAACATAGAACAGGTGCCGTGGGCCGCTCCGTGCTGCGGGGTTGACTAAGGAGGTGATCCGAGTACTTATCGACTGAATGGTTCGGTGAGCAGCGAGATAATCTGTCGAATGACTAACTAGCGTGTTTATGCCATCACTCTTCTTCTGTTTGTGCCAGTCTCCCTTATATTATGACTTCTGTTCCTCCCCCAATTATTTCTCACACCCCCCCCCACCCCCCCCCCCACTTCTTCCCCCAACCCCCATTTCTTTCGCACATCTTCAGACAACAGTCTGGATAGATTACAGTTTTTATAAGGAGTAGAAAATTATAGGGAAGAGAAAAAGTTGGTAAGAAACAACAATTAGTTTATGTTAGCTTACAAAATCGATCACAATAAAACAACAAACAAAGGACGTTGCGGCGATTAGCCTTCATCAGCACATAAAAGGACAACACAGTACACATACACAAATAGGCTCTAACTATGAAGTGACTACATAGGACTCTAATGTAAAAATTAAACGATACTCATCTAGTGTCCCTGGCGAAAAAATCTTCGTTCCAAAATGAAACGACGGTCAGCCTATATACCTGTCCAACGCGCAGGGTAGGGGGGACGGTCTGGACGCCAAACAGCGTACACTAAGTGTCTAAGGAGGGAGGGAGGGGTAGGCCTATAGGGCGTAACCGGGGTTGGGTTGTGGGGATGACCTTAGTCCATCCGCGTGGAGTAAAAATTGTGTGCCTGTGCTTGCAAACACATATCGACAGATAGATAGATAGATAGATAGATAGATAGATAGATAGATAGATAGATAGATAGATAGATAGATAGATAGATAGATAGATAGATAGATAGATTGATAGATAGATAGATAGATAGATAGATAGATAGATAGATAGATAGATAGATAGATAGATAGATAGATAGATAGATAGATAGATAGATAGATAGATAGATAGATAGATAGATAGATAGATAGATAGATAGATTAGATAGATAGATAGATAGATAGATAGATTAGATAGATAGATAGATAGATAGATAGATAGATAGATAGATAGATAGATAGATAGATAGATAGATAGATAGATAGATAGAAAGATAGATAGATAGATAGATAGATAGATAGATAGATAGATAGATAGATAGATAGATAGATAGATAGATAGATAGATAGATAGATAGCTAGATAGATAGATAGATAGATAGATAGATAGATAGATAGATAGATAGATAGATAGATAGATAGATAGATAGATAGATAGATAGATAGATAGATAGATAGATAGATAGATAGATAGATAGATAGATAGATAGATAGATAGATAGATGGATAGATAGATAGCAGTCAGTTCAAGCTCCGGAGTTCACCAACAGTCGACACTTCAGTGAATGTCAAACAACGTCAGCCGAAGGTAGCCCACACATAGACATGCAGGACAGGCTGGTAGCAGGACAGGCTGGTAACAGGACAGGCTGGTAGAAGGACAGGCTGGTAGCAGGATAGGCTGGTAGCAGGACAGGCTGGTAGCAGGACAGGCTGGTAGCAGGACAGGCTGGTAACAGGACAGGCTGGTAGCAGGACAGGCTGGTAGCAGGACAGGCTGGTAGCAATATCCAGTGACGTCTATTGTGATAATATAACAGAACAACATAAGAATAACAAGTGATAACATAAACTGACTGGTCAGTGAATCTCAGTGCCTGACACTAATTTAAAAACTGCTTCTTTGAACACATTGCTGCCAGGTCTAAACTAAACACATGACACATAATATCTGACATTAAGTTTTGAACTGCAGCTTCTCTTAACGCATTGCTGGCAGATCTAAACTAACACATGCCACATAGTAATTCTTCTACCGGCCCGATGGTGGGTGAAGAGGGCTAGGCTAGACAAAATTCTTCACTGAGCAAAGCGATTATCTGTATGTAATATATGCAAGGGATCTTTAGCACCTACAGAGACATCTATGTACAGTGATACTATATGGAGTGCAGACGTGATCAGCCAGCCACACGTGGGGCTGCACTAGTGTTCATTCTAGTTAAAGACAATCTACACCTAGAAACAGGTGACGTCATGGCGTTTGGCCAACGTAACACATGTATAAGAGCAGAGGAACCAACAGTCTGTACACAGATAGGACAGACCTGTTAAAACGGATGTGCGTGCAACACTCAAGTCCTAGAAAAAGACCCGTCCAGAATTGGACGAACGACTAGGACCTAGGAAGTGCCCCCCCCCCCGCCCTCCCGTTTTTTTGCAGAATAATCTAAGAATATAATAACTAGTTACGCCTCTGGTCAGACACACCCAACCACTGAAATACTTCTATATATTCCTAAATATATATATACTTTTTTAAGCTGGTTATTAAAAAAAAAAAAAAAACACCGATCGTCGCTTTACATTTTGTTATCAAAGTTCGCGGGCAGACAGTCTTCTAATGTATGAGTTTGTCCACAACACGTATTTCACTAGCAAGTTGCACAATTTTGCGACCTTAATTTCTGTTTCATCACTTTTTTGGATGTCGATAATTTACTTATTTTTAACTTTCTGAGTACCGAGGTTTGTTTGTGTGTTCTGCTATTGTATGAGCGCAGGGACAAAGATTGTATAGTAAATATAAAATAGCCTCACTGGCCAGTAAATGTTTGCTCGGTGGCCCGGTTTGGACCCGCAGGCCATAGTTTGCCCACCCCTGCTTTATATAGTCAATCAAATGTGACATTTGATTTTAGTCTTGAACAAAATGCAACATCACGAACAGACGATAACGTGGTGATATAACTAGCAGCATAAGATAACAGCGACACAACGAACCAGATTGTTGGATTTCACTTGACTCCCTGTCGGATAATGATTTCATTTAAATGATATACACAGGAGATCCGTGCGTGTCCCGAGTAACCTGCTGCTGTGTCGAGTGTGTAACTCCAGTGTCTGAAGACGAACGGCGTGTTCAGAGCAGTAAGTACACAAGGTGGAGTAGGTTCTGGTGTGGGTATGTGTAACGATGGTTCTACTATTGTTTTTGGTACTTTCCGTCTTTCCAGACGTTATTGTTATAATGGGATATGAAGAGGAATGGGACTTACAGACCATGTCAATGGCGACTGGGTCTCACAGCCCGTGGCGATGGCGACTGGGACTCACAGCCCATGGCGATGGCGACTGGAACTCACAGCCCATGGCGATGGCGACTGGGACTCACAGCCCATGTCGATGGCGACTGGGTCTCACAGCCCATGTCGATGGCGACT